TTGTAGATGTACACAATACCTTTGTTTATTTTTTTGTGCTGCTAGGATCAAACCCAGTGCCTCACGCATGCTAGGCAAGTGCTCTACCACTGAGCCACAAACTCAGCCCCCAAAATTTCGTTGTATGTGCACCTTTACAACAAAAATTAAAATTAAAAAATATGTCTTTGAAAAATAAGTATAATATTTGAAAGAATGATTCAAAAACTGATGAAGTCATTGAAGATGACTTCTCTATGTTAATCTCTATCTTGTAATTCTCAACATTGTTGTTTATAAGATGCCATCAACACTATCAACTGTCAACACCAAATATGTTTCTAAATATGAATGTATATTAGTTTAAATTGTTTCTTTTCATAACTCTTACCTGTGACATTTAATTCTTGTTTTTGTTTGTTTGTTTGTTTTTGGTACTGGGGGTTGAACTCAGGGGTACTCAACCACTGAGTATGTCCCCAACCCTATTTTGTATTTTATTTAGAGACAGGTTCTCACTGAGTTGCTTAGTGCTTCACTTTTACTGAGATTGACTTTGAATTCTTGATCCTCCTTCCTCAGCCTCTTTAGCCAATGGGATTACAGGTGTGTGCCACCGCGCCTGTCAATGACATTCAATTCTTAGCTGCCAATATCAACTAATAGTAATTAATAGAAGCTAGCTTCCAATCCAGTATCTTCACTTTATAGAACCATGTCGTGTACTGGGAACATTAGTTTTTTGGTTTTGTTTGTATATCCTGATGGTTAAAGGGGAAGAAATGATTCTATAGGTAGAGAAGATAACTAATTAAACTTGAAGCTGTCTGTAGTTCCTTGCTGCTATCTACATGAAAATGAGTGTGTTCTTGTGATATAATTTAAACATGTAAACTACAATCAAAACCCATTAGAACAGGGTTGCTGTCATCTCCTCTCCTAGGACTGAGGGATTTGAGTGGAAAGGAAACTTAATTGTATAGCCAAATTAGCTTTTCTATGTAACTCTCTATTAGAGCTGTGGTTAATCTCTTGGAAGGCACTGGTTCTTGGTTTTTCCCATTCCTCTGGTTACTTTTAAAGAACAAGTCCAAGCAGGCACTGC